ACTTCGATTTGTGTTATATTATCGATATAAATATATATATATATATATATAGCTATATATATATATATATATATAACATATATAAATATGTGGATATGATATTTTTTCATTAGAATAATGTTTTTTTTTCTTGATTATCTTGGCTGCTTAGTCTAATATTAGCGCCTGCAGCGCACACATATATGTTTATAATAATAATAAATTTAAATGAGTCTATTCGTTAGATACCTGTATAATTTACGAAACTACGTAAGGTTTAGAATTTCGTACCATAAAAATATGCACCTCTTCCAATTGCATTTCAGCGTGATAATTTGGTGAATGACAGGTTGAAGTGTTACAGATGAGGAGCATGATAGACATGATAGGAGATGATAGGTGGAAAGTGGTGATGGTCCCTCATTAAATCGAACAAAAAAAAATGCATTAAAAATTACCGATTTCTATTTTTAGTTAGTTTAAAAATACCGTTTCATTTGTAATTGTGAAAAATTACGTATTATGTAATAGCAACATTGATTTGAAAACACTGTTATTAATTCATATCGATATGTAAATTCATATGTACAGTACGGTACGCATAAGTCTTTTAAGCATTATTGTAAAAAAATAAAGTTATCCAATGACTTCGCTCACGTGTTGTGTTTGTCGATCAGTAATAAACTTTTATCGAAAATACACATTAAATTGTTTAATAGAAGATTTGTTATTTAATAGTAATAAAAAACGTTAATGCCACCGATAAAGATGACTCTAATGATTAGAAATAAAAAAATAACTACATAATTATCTAAATATTAACAAATTCCACGTGTATACATTAATGAATAAATATATAAATTTAAAATAAATTTGATGATAAATGTCCTCACTAACTGCTAAATTTATGATCTCCTTATATATTCATACACTTTGTTAGCAATATTATCATCCTTCATTTGCATCATATAAATACTTGGCACAGGTGAGTTATTATTTGGTACTGTAATTGCTACTTTACATTTTCCTGTTTTCTGAACTCCTGATTCAGAAACAATTGCATCTACAAATCTTGCTACTTTTGGTTTATCTATATCGATCATAATTCTTTTCTTTCGTGATGGTGACTCTAAATCTAAAGTCATATCCCCCCATCCAAAATTCTTCCAAACCCCATGATCTTTTTGCAAAAATACTTTACATTTTGCTTCAATTAATCGAGTAACTGTCTGTTCTACTTCTCTTAGACGTTCTTGCGATCGCATTGATGATGTTCGTGGAAATCTTTCATATTGTGGAACATTTAATTCATCTTGCGACCGCATCGATGCTGTTCGTGGAAATCTTTCATACTGTGTAATGTTTAACTCATTTGGCCCATAATTAGGATGTGACATATGATGTCCTGTTGGAGGTTGCGGTCGATTAACTGCTGGTAGATTACCAGTACTTAAACTTTTTTTAATGTGTGGTGTTTGTGCAGATGAAAATGGTGGACTCTGTGGGTTTTGAGGTGCTGAGAGTCGCGAATTTGACATATTTTGTGAACTATGCATATTTGGCGAATTTGGCCCATGCATATTTGGTGAGTTTGGCCCATGATTTGGCGAATTTGGCCCAGAGTTCATTGAAGCTCTTGAATTAGCTGTTAATAATTATTTTTAAAAAATGTTACTTCAAAATATTTGTTAGATATAATTCAGATTTACGAATACCAACCAGCTTGAACAGTAAAATCTATCATCTTGTAAAGTTCTTGTAACCACCTTTCCTTTTGTTCACGATCCTCTGTCAAAATTACCAAATCCTTTTTTTGCATAAAATTTAATCGAATTGATTCTACAAAAAAAAAAACATAAATTAATAACTCATTTCTCCATTTTAAAAGCAAAAAAATTAAATGAACTAAAATTTTTATAAATATTGAACAAACCTTCGTTTCCAACATGATTGTCATTTATAGATAAATATCTTCCACTAAATGGTGGATGTAATAAATAAAATTCCTTATTAGGGTTGATTTGTTTTTCTTTTGGGCTTAATCTTTGACAGACTAGCAAGAGATCTGTCAATAAAAATATGTGTGCCCTGATAAAACTATCTGATTCATTATCTTCATATATTGTAAAGTCAGCATTAAGAATTATTTCACGATTAAATGGAAGACGTGGAGGAAGAAACTCAATTTTGATTTGCTACTCGTAAAAAATTTGGTGATAAAGAATAAGTATGAATATTATATATTTTTAATAAGGAATTGTTATAATAGGTATTTAATTAAAAGAATATTGATTATATAATACCTTTGGTTTTTTCGTGACAAAATCCGCAGTTCTTGTTGTATCCAAACTAACTTCTAATTCTGGTAATGTCCAAACGTTTTTCACCTGGTGAGGTGATTCTGGAGAATCAGAATAGTCTGTATCAATTTGCGAATTATCAGGTGGAGTTGAAGGTTGATTAGTTTGTGATACTGGTAATTCATTATTTGAGTTTTGCGAGCTCCTGGCTCGTTTTCCTATGTCAATAAGTAAATCAATGCGTTTAATTGCATTTGTAAAATGCGTATTTTCTGAGCTTCCAGGCTCCGAATTCCTAAGCTGACGCTACAAAAAAGAATATTGTATCGATTATCGATAGTCTAGATAAAATAATCATTTCAAGAAAAATTTTAATAATCCTAACTGTGTAAAATTTTTTATAATAATTAATTCTCTTTAACGGCAATTCAAAAAAGAAATTTAAAGTTTTGAGTTGATTCTTTTCTGATGAAATATCCTAAAGTAGTAAATTAAAATAATGAATATTTATATAGTAGATATATATTTATATATATGTATATTATATATATGTATATATATATTTCACAAATCAAAATTTATGCTGAAACAAAAATTACATTCAAAGTTTGTTGCAAAGCTATATTTCCTTCAATCTCAGGTAATGACTCAATGCCTCGTATATAACCTTGGCAATAGCTTGTATATGGTTTTTCCATTCTATCAATCTAATGGACAAATTGTAAAGTATAAGCATGACAAGCATTTTGTGTGTTAATAACAAAAAATAGTTAAATACCCAATTCACTAATACGTCGACAAGACTTTCCGCTGATTGTGGATCTTGTTTAATTTTTTTAAGTCTCTAATATTGGGTTAGATGTGATTTAAGGTATCATTGCGGTTCCAATGATTTGTTTTTTTTTAAAGTGAATATTAAAAAAATTTACATAAAACTAGAAGAAAAAAAGGAAATAACTAAAGATACGAACATGAAACAATTCCCGATTTACTTTATAGACCTTATCAGCTAAACAAAACATATTATCTAATTTCTTTGGAGGCGGATTGTCACCATTCCAACTTGCAGTAACTCGCTGTGGACAATGAAAAAAAAAATTTTTTTTACTCTAAATAATCATTCAGTTAGAAGTATATTAAATATGGGTTCATGTCATTTGCCAGACATCCATTTCCAAACTATATTTTTGAAAATATTATTGGGGAAATAGTTGTCGGGCAAATGACATGAACCCATTAAATATGCATTATTACTAAACCTGTAATAAACATTTCAGATCAACTAAATATTCCTCTTCTGTTTCAATGAGAAGAGTTAAAGGGCTAGTATCTGATTTTACATATGTATTAGGTGACATTACAGGAGACTTTGAGTATGTCGAATTCGGTGGCATTTGAGGAGACATTGAATATGATATCGAATTTGACGGAGACAAAGTTGGAGACGTATAAGGAGATTTTGAAGGTAAATTAGGTGGCATATAAGGAGATTTGGGA